TATTAGTATAATTAGTATCAGGAGCTATTGACAAACCTGTGTATGTAAACAGCTATATGTATTCCATGAAATATATGTGGCAAGATGGGAAATAACGAGCTGAAAATTACCTGCCAGTTGGGGATGGCTGTTTAAGTGGTGTTAGGTATTCAAGGGAAGTCACAGTGGTCACTTTTTTACTGAATGTAGCTTGGAATGGGGATCCATGCGAAAGAAGGTTTAACATACATTTGAAAGAGCAACTATAATTTTTTTTTTCTTTTGGGGGAAAAAAAATTCTTTCCTTTGTACTACAAATCTTTCCAGGCAGAGCATCTCTTGTATTTGTTCTGGTAAGTATCTAATACGTTTTCAGATTCTGTAAGAATAATAAACATTTTGTGAGGCAGCCGCACTAATTCTTTAATGAGACATTGTTAATGCAACTGAAACAAAGTGTTTTGGAACATGTTGTTCCAAACACACTCATTTCTCTAACTGAGTTAGATCAAGTTACTGATCAGTGGTAGTTCAGTACTTACCCAGTATTAGCCTTCAGATTTTATAGATATTACTAATCGTAATCGACCTCTCTAGAATTAATATTATAAGGATGGACAGTGGTATCCACAGTTTCCCATCAGGGTCAAGGTACAATCATTGTATAAACAAATAGCGAGACTCAGAGATCTTAAATTTTTGTTTAAGATCAATTACATAGGGTGAGTATAATAGACAACAAGAAGGGAGTGTGCACAGGGAAGGTGATGTTTTTAATATTGTGCAGTTACAGAAGCAAATGATATGTACAACTTGATGGTTCCAAATTATTTTAGATATTTCCTGTCATAAACCCTGTGCTCATCATACAATATGGGTCCATGACAACACAAAGAATTTCTCCACTGTTGCAAAATGGACACAAAGCTAGCATTTCAAAGGTCATGGAGGTCAGAAAGTTGACTATTTACCCTTTGTAATCATTAGGGCTGTGCAAAGCTTCAGTTCGTGATTCGATTCGGTGGAGATTTGGCCCGATTTGGTGGCTGAATCTCCAAATCTGAATTGACTCAGAGGACCCTTTAATCTCTCCAAATTGAATCAGAACCCTCTGAATTGATTCAGAGAGATTCGGAAAGATTTGGAGATTCGGATATAGACACAGCTTTAAATGTTTTTTCTACGTACCTCTAGGTAGCAGGGGCTTGTGAATGCTGCGATGCCAGGACACATGAAGTATCCCACAGAACCCCGCCCCCCACCTCCCCTCCCCGTGTCCCTGCAGCTCAGCAACTGGTCCCTCCTGGGTCTGAGAGGGGGCACCCGGGGTCCCCCTGTGGCCAATTGCTCAGCCGGCAGGGGGTGCAGGCCCTCCACCCCCCCACGCGCTCTCCAGTAGACCTGGAAGTGGACCAGAAGTCCTTCTGGTCCACTTCCAGGTTCACCACCAAGCACATGGAGGGCCCCCCCCCCCCACACTCATGAGGGATGCTCCATGCGCCCCAGCATCACAGTGATCACGAGCTGCTCTGGTACCTCGAGATATGTAGAAAAAATATTTAAAGCTGTGTCTATGTCCGAATCACTGATTCTCAGAATCAGCATTGAATCTTCAGATTCAGATTTGACTGAATCAAATCAGGGACAGTGATCTGAATCAATGAATCAAATCACTGTCCTTGAGTCAGGCCAAATCCAAATCAAATAGGGCCTGCTTTGCACACCCCTAGTAATCATAGCTGGGACAATGAGGGTATTGCCAGGACCTACACATTTACAGCCAGCAGTCAAACTCCAACCTCTATATGCTAGAAATGTGAGGATGCTATGGGGGTGGTATTGGGAGTATAGAAGAACGATACACCTTCCCCAAACCCTGGCTTTCCAGCTTTACATTTTGTTACAACAAAACTAACATGGGTTAGTTACATAGGTGCAAGAAATCCTGGAGTTTGAGTCGGCATGCTTCTCATCTACAGAAAATTCAAACTGAAGATAGTTAACATATTTTTGTCTAACAAATATTGCAGTTTAAGATTAGTAATTTCTATGTCTATTATTGTCTGAAAATATAATCTTGTTTCTGACCACAGTTTTCTTAATGCTTAGTATTGTATCAAGTTTTTCAAGCTGAATTACTGACTTATCTTTTATGGTCTCTAAACCTCATCTTGTGATGCAAGGTAATCTGTGATAGTGAAATCTATACTAGCTATGAGAATCAAGGAAACTGGAATATAAACCCTATCATGATCAGGGTTTATTAGTATTGCAGATAACTCTCATTATAGAGTAATTATTAATGCAATATTGTTATAAAAAGCTTTGGTATGTAGCAACCTGATTCATTGATAGATGGACTCATTTGAACGACATGTTTAATATAAACAAATGCAAGGTTATATGTCTACGAACAAAGAATGAAGGTCAGACTCAGAAGATGGGGGATTTTTCTTTTGGAATACAGTGATACTAAAAAGGACATAGGGGTCATGATAGCTTACTAATAGAACAGGAGTTTCTATTGTAATCTTGTGCCTAAGAGAGCAATTATGATGTCTAAGCAGAGGAATATCAACTAGGAGTAAAGAGGTTGTATTGTATCTCTACATGTCATTAGTGAGAGCATTACTAGATGACACATTTAGGTCTGGTGTGAACACTTCAAAAAGGATGTTGAAAAACTGGAATGGATTCAGAAAAGAATAATTCACACTCTGAAAAACAAGTTGCCTTATGATCCTGAACAAGTTCAATGTATTCAGTTTATGCAGAACAAAGTTAAAAGATGGCTTTATTATTGGCTATGCATAGTTAAATGATAATAAAACTTCTAATAGTAGATATGTCTTTAACACAGTGATTCTCAACCAGAGTGCCACAACACCCTGGAGTGACTTGAGATCCTTTCAAGGGTGCCATGCAATCTTAGCACTGTTAGATGTGCAAACATGATTCAGAAGATCAACCCAAAGATTTAAAAGAGGAATTCTAGTGTTGAAACAATCTGAAATAGGGTAATCTTCCTGAGTTCTTTGCAACAGAAGAATTGCTCTTATATTTCTGTGGTCAAAAATAAGTGAAAATTGAGAGCATTTCTAATGGGTACCTTGAGTCTACCAAGCAATGCCTTGAGTCCAAAAGGGTTGAGAACTACTGACCTAACAGAAAAAAATGCATCAAAAAGCTCTAATAATTGGACACTGAAATTAGATCAAATCAGACAAGATGCACGGTATTTTTTTTCAACTGTTATGATAATTTACAGTTGGAGCAATTTACCTTGTAACATGGTAGATTCTCTTTCATTTGAAATCAAATTTCAATATCTTTCTAAACTATATGCTGCAGCTCAAACAAGCTTTGGGCTTGATGTAGAAATTACTGATTGGGGTTCTACAAGCTGTTAGGAGGTCAAATAAGATGATCACAATGGTTGGTTCTAAATTTAACATTTCTAAGTTTAGAAGAGGACATTTCAAATGCCAGTGTGCTACATTCTGCTTTGCCTGCCCCATTTGAGTTGTACCTTACAATGTGGTCTGTTCAACTGAACAGACCAAACTTGAGAAATACAGGCACCTGGCTTTTAGCCATCATGTGCTGGTCATCTTAAGATCTGTTGAAGCATGATACTAAATCATGTTCATATTCTTTTCTTGTATCTAATACAGTAAAAAAAACTACAGACAGAATATCAAATATGAGCATAAGCTCATCATGCTCTTTGAGTGCACAGTCTTATACTAATATACATATATACCATACTTATTCATACTTATATTATGATATCTTTGACTGGCATTTGTACTAGAGTAGAATTTAGGACACTGGATTAGTTTTTGCCTCACCTTAGGTTTCCTGTGTTCCATTGGTTAATTTATATACTCATTCTCAGCCATGTTTCCCATTTGTAAAATGGAAATGATATTACTGCCCCCTGCACTTTGTCTTTTTCTCCCCTGCTCCCCTGCGCTTTGTCTCCTTCACTTATATTTTAAGTTGTATGGATGGAGGGGGTGGGGTTGTTTCACCCTTCATAATGGGGATCTCTAAAAAGTATAAATATAAGTAAATGTGAAATAAATAATAATTGAAACAAAGCAATATATTTTCAAAATGCTGTGCAGGAAGCTAACAACATAGTGCCATCATAACAATGAAAGCTATTTCCACTAATGTGACATTTTATCTAAACACATCAAAGCTGTTATCAATGCTAAAAGAAGACACACAAGATAATGTACTATGCTATTTTGAACATGCATCCAGAGAGGAATCTATGAATTATTTTTATTGAGAGAGGCAACACATACAGTATCTGAATGTATTGCCTGAATCTGTACCTGCAGAACACCATGAATTCTGTCGAAGTCCCCTGTTGGGATTTGACTTCCACTGAGGGTTATTACTGAAGTATGTGATTGATGTGGAAAAGGACAAACATGAAAAGGTTTTTTTGGATGAAGATTCCAAAGATCTTAATAGCTCTTCTTCCCTAATCCCATGGTAAGATTTGGGTTTTTCTCCTTCCCAGACAAGAGGCACTACCTCATATCTTTTTTGATTAGTGTGACCATTTTCCCAGCTGGATCATCAGTGTGATGGTAACTCGCTTGCCTGTCAATACTACCTTTTTCAATACTACCTGCTTCCTAGCCACCAGACAACTGGCCTAAACAAGTAGGTCTCAAACAGCGACTTCATGCACTAGAACCTGGTAATTTGATTCTTTTCGAGTTGACTGGAACTATGAAACTTTATTGAAAGTTATGCTCCAGAGTACACACAGAGCATGCATTTGTATTCCTGGTTTCTTGGCAGGAAGAAAAGAAAGCACTCAGAATTTTATGCTGTTTTAAATAGATCTTTCATTTGCAAATTGGCCCTTGATGGCTTTTCCCCCTAAGAACTACTTGTGTATTCTGTATGTTTGATGGTACACAATGCAAGGCAGTTGACTGTTGGCAATTTGACCTATGAAATTTGATTTAGCAAACCAGAACTTTCTTCTTACTCAGGTTAGCCAGTACACCTTTGCTATGTGCAGTTACAGAGAAAAGAAATCTGAGCCTCAGGAATTAATGCAGCTTGACGGATACACGGTGGATTATACAGCTCCTCACCCAGGTACTCTTTATGCTATTATAAACTGTTACACAGTATATAGGATGGCAGACTTACTTCTGCCTGTTAGTATTAGGTCCCTATGACTTAACACAAGTAAATCTAGTTTCTTTCAGTACTTAAGGGTGTTTTATTTTTGTTAGGTTTACTTCTAAAAATCACTTATTAGAAAGAAGGCACTTTGTTGTAAGAACAAAATTCAAACTAAGTATCCAAAAGATCACAGGACCTTTTGCACTAAAAAACAAGAAAAAAATTAACGCAGAGGCTTCTCTTTTCTTCTTCTGACAGTAGTATGGTTAGTAGCACTGACAGCCAAAGCAAAGTCAACAGAACTCTGTTGAATGAAGTCTGTTGTACTTACGATATGCTTTTCAAAAAATTAAATGAGGAAATGCGATTGTATGACTTTAGACCCAGGTCAACAGCCAGGATCTCATAAATTTATATATGAAGATATACTATATCTTCATATTGCCATTTAATGCCTGTTGCTATGCATTTTATCATCCTTCCTTAATTATAAAAACTTAGTTTGTATGCTATATTTTAAATAGTGGCATCCAATTGGTTACGTATTAAGTATAAGTAGTTAATTATAAATAACTGATGCAATTTTGTTTTTATATTTTAATGCCTATTTTTGCAGGTCTTCAGGGTGGCCAGATGTTTTTCAATGCTGTTAAAGAAGGAGATACAGTAATATTTGCCAGTGATGATGAGCAGGATAGAATACTATGGGTTCAAGCAATGTACAGGGCAACAGGTCAATCATATAAGCCTATTCCTGCAAGTCAAGCACAAAAGATGAATCCAAAAGGAGGAAATGTCCACACAGATTTATCACAGCATTGTAAGTCTTTTTTCTTTTTTTGGTGGGGCGGTGGAGGGGGGCAAGAGGTGGAGAGATGGACAGTAGGGCTGTGCAAAGCTTTGGTCACTGATTGGATTTGGATGAGATTCAGCCTGATTTGGCAGCTGAATCTGCAAATCCAAGTCAAATCAGGAGACCCATTAATCTCTCAAAATCAAATCGGAGATTCAACAATTCTGTCATAGACACAGCTTTATATATTTTTTCTACATACCTCAAGGTATCAGGTGGTTTGTGAATTCTGAGATGGTGGGGCAGATGGAGTGTCCTATGGGAGCGTTGGAGGTCCCCAGTGCATTCAGCAGCGGACCCAGAAGTGAACCAGAAGCATTTCCGGTCCGCTTCCAGGTCTGCCGCAGAGCACACGGGGGACACCCCACCCTCCATCCCCGGCTCAGCGAGTGGTGCCTCCTGGGTTGGGGGAGCACCCGGGATCCCCCTGCAGCGGATCGCCAAGCCAGGGGGGCGCAAGGGGATCCATCGCCGAGCATGCGGGGGGGGGGCCCCCACACTGCTGTGGGGCGCTCCATCCCACCCCACCATCTCAGCATTCACGAGCCGTACCTGGTACCTCAAGTACGTAGAAAAAAATTACATTTTAAAGCTGTGTCTATGGCTGAATCACAGATTTGCTGAATCAGAATTGAATCTTCAGATTCGGCCAAATCTAATTGGGACAGTGATCCGAATCAGCGAATCTATGATCCAAATCAGCAAAACCCTAATGGACAGTTAGGGTTTTTTGTTAGTTTTTTTTTTTTAATTAGTAAAATATGGAGAGGCCCCCTCAATAAAGATTAAATACTGATTTACAGGGAAAGGCAAAATTTCCTGGCAGTATATTCCTAGCTAACAGCTCTTTAACTCAGAGTATCATTAACAGCCAAGGGAATGCCTGGTTTGGAGGCCACTGTTACTATTATAAACCATGAAAATATGACAGTTAACTTTTATATTTTTTTAAAGGTGAACTGCATATTGCCATAGTGATAATGTTTGGATGTATGATATATTTTTCTTAGAAGAATCAGATGTAGTGACTAAAGGAAAATATTTTTTTCCTCTTAACTTTCATTAGTTTAATAATACTTTATTAAGTATCTGAATAAATTATCCAAAATGTTTAATGTAAACATGGAGAAGTAGGGGGACCTAGATGGGATAATGAGACATATGGGGCAGTGTGAAACCTGGGCACTACCCCTCCCCCTGCCCCCACCTGCTTCAGGCTGCAGGGAATCAATGACCCATTAATGACCCATTTTTCTTTACTTCATAGGTGCTAACTATCACCTGTGAAGTAACAGTTACTGTTAATGATCATTCCACTAATCAAGCTAACCTATTTTAGGACAATTTTGCTGTCTGCTACAGTTTTTTATTTCACAGCTCCTGCCACTTTACCTCCACACCCCACAACTAGGACACTTGTTTTAATTTTGTTAAAAATTAGGACACTTTGTTTTAATTTTCACTGGCTGGCCAGGACTGGCCTCCGAAATCAAGGACTGTCCTAGCCAAAATGGGATGTATGGTCACCCTATTGCATGGGCCCCAAGGCTTCTATACAACCCAAAATGTTGTTATATTGCGTGTAAAAACATAAAATAATTTTAATTAAAATAAGAAAAGATGTCAGGGAACTATGGCTTCAAAGAAAATGAAGGAGTAAGTAGGTTCTAGAAGTTTTATGTTTCAGGGATGTATTTGGTAGCCATGTTGGTCTGAAACAAAAAGAAATGCAACACTAAAACTCTAGAGTGTTGCATTTCTTAGAAATTTGATGTAGCATTAATATGCTATTGATTAAATTATATATTCTTGGGCCATCAAATTCAGGCCCCTTTCATTGTAGGCAACCACATACAATCCCTTTCATATATATCGAACTACATCTAAAAAATTCTTAAAGTTTTTTTGCCCCTGTTACTCCAATGGCAAAAATGTTCTAGAACCACCCTTGGTTAGAATTCTTCATTTTAATTTAGAGCCTAAATCATTTTCATAACCAGTTTACAGTTTTCACTGTCAGGCCAACATCTTCCTTTCACTTAAATTGCACTTTTCCTTCCTCGGTTCTAACCCTCCTTGGGGGCCATCTGGAGGCCAGTCACAACATTGACTTGCCCACCTATCTAGAGCCAGGGATGATGCAAGCAGGGTGTGGGGCCCAGGGCATATCAACCTGTGGGGGCCCCACCCCTGGGTGCAAGGAAACCGGTGGCGGATTCAGCGGGGGGTGGTGAGCAGCCAGACGCACCAGATTCAGCATCGGGTGTGCCAAGCTGCCAGATGTGAAGCCAGCAGCAGCACAGAGTTGCTGCGCTGGTCCACCTGGCTCAGCGGGCCCCCACAAAGCGCAGAGCCAGGGGCGGTCATCCCAATTCACACCCCACTCCTAGGGATGGCCCTGTCTAGGGCAGTCCATCCTGCCTCACCAGCCATGCCTTTGATATTTCAAAAAAATAGGTGTTTATATGCAGGAGGCTACCCATTTAGTTGCCCTGATGCCAAGGGCAAAATACACAGCTCCAAACCTCTCCTTATACCATGTCCCATGCCTCGCAGATGGTATCCAAAATCGCTTCAAACTCCCCCGGCCCCTTAGCTGGGCCACACTTAGCCTCTGGCCCAAACTTGGCCGCAGGTGTCCTCAGACATGCCTTGGCCTCTCTGCCCCCCTCACTGGGTCTTGGCCTCAGTCTTAGACCCCACTTTATGGGCCTAGACCCTGCCTCAGGCCCCACTCACTGGACCTGGGCCCTGTGCTTTTCGGCTGGGGTGTGGTCCCCTAGCCTTTCCCCTCCATGGGTTACCCACAAGGCAGTGGGAGCTGATGCTGTATGGCACTCCATCCTCGCCTTTCACTGGGGAGGCACAGGTGTGGCATTTCCTGGAGACTGCCCTGCCACAGGTAGCCCTACCCTAGCAAGCTGCAGTTTCAGGTCCTACCCAGGACCAAAAGGAACCTCCTCCATCCCCATTGTTCCTACCCTAACCTTCAGATTTTCTGGAAGCTGCTCTCCTGAGGCTGTGTGATGCTGCTTCACTGGCTGCCTAGATGTAACTGCCCCTCAGCTCCTAGGGCCTGGGCTTATACCTTGGCTGCCCAGCTCTCATCCAATCTGGGGGCCCCCTTGCAGTCATGTGACCACCTAATTTGGCCTAACTGCACCTGCTTCACAGCCTGTTCAGGCCCCTGGAAGTGGTGGACACCAAGCTCCTGATGAATTTAGAGCAGCAATCATATCCCATCTAAGCCTTCATTTTACTAAATTAACGTGGCCAAGCCCTTTTAGTCTCTTCTCAGACAAAAGGTTCTCCATACTTGTGTTCATTCTAGCACCTCTTCTGTGCTCTTCTTTCAATTTAAAATTAGATTTCTTAAATATAGATGATCAGAACTAGTGTATCTACTCAAATATAAGGCACTGCCCCTCAAATAATTAGATTGTATAAGGAAAAATTATAAAGTTGTTATATTTTCCAGCTATAGAATCTCATTATTGGAGGTTTGTCTTAAATTTGTCCCCCTCCCACTGCTACAGCAGAGATAATAAATCTGGGGGTTAGGTAGCTGCCCTTGCCCTCTTCTCCTTCAGCTTCTTTCCCCTGCAGTCCCTTCACCCCCCACCACACACACACTTCCTGTAAGACTCTGCTCTCCCTGAGCATAAGGAAATGAAGGGCACATCTGAAAACACTGACATTGAAATAAACATAAATGTAGTGTAATGTTCATATAGGCAAATAGTTGCAAGTACCCATAGATTAAGTTAATCCAGAATTGATGCATTCTACCTTTTTTTAAAACTGTTGCAAGCACAGGTCATCTATAAACACACTTTTAAGCAGCACTTTTTGTACCTACTTATATATAGCACAAACTATACATGTTAGTCCAAAACCAAAAGTCTCATGATTTACCATGCAATTCACTGGGCTGGACATCAGCAGAATCGAAAGCATTTTAAGCCATGGTGAACCCACAGCCTACCACTGCTCAGTATGTGTGTGTATTCCAGATATCCCCCCATAAAGGATCCATGTGCTAATCAGCCCCATCTTCCCTCCCCCCCCCCCAAACTCATGCCTGTAACCCAGTATTTTTGTGATGAGTCGTGGGGTCCTCCAAAAATTTATATGCAGATAAGGCACAGGGCAACATGATCCAACTCCACCTCATGGAAGGCAGGGCAACACTAATCATATGTGACAGGCTGAGAGAGGAGTTAATAGATTCTGGGTGAACTGTGTGATGCCTTCCTTGGCAAAGTTTGTCAGGTATTAAGATTGATGAAGAAACAGGAATCACTGGAAATGGGAAAGAAAGGCATGGCTCAACTTTGAAGTAAAAATGTATGCAATGTAGTGACTCACCATAACTTAGAGTCAGCACTGAGGGGAACTGCATGTAATGGGCACTACCATATATCTTATTTAAATGAGCTGGTACCCTATCCTTGTTGGTAGGTTTCTATCAGCACTCAAAGCCTGTTCTGTGCTTTAAAGGTTGAGAAAGGGATTGACAGATTATTGGGGTGTAAGAAGTAGAGGAGAGGAGACCCAAAGCTCAAAATAATGACAGTGGTGGCAAGTAAGCATGAGATGAGAATAGTGGAAATGAAGATCTGGAGACAGATGGAGAGTGGATGAAGATGGAGAAGAAAGGAAGAAAGAAGGTGACAGCAGGAACAACAGTGGAGTCAGCAACAACAAGAGTGGTGATGACAGAGGAGAGCAGGAGAGAGAACGGGAGCAGCAAGAGAAGGTATTTTGGGTGAGAAGCAACAGACAGTGGTAGTATGATGACACCAGGAGTGGGACAGCAGAAAAACATGGAAGAGGCGCTGAGAGCAGCTGGAGAGGAGCAGAGGCTGTGGATAAAGGCACCTTTAACCAGCAACGGGAGGCAAATGGGATTGGTGATGAACAGATCTGGTTTCCTGGAAAAGTTACTGCTTGAGATTTTGGAGGTG